TCTCTCTCTCTCTCTCTCTCTTCTCTTCTCTTCTCTTCTCCTCTCCTCTCTTCTCTCCTTCGTACGATTCTGCATATTACATCCAAAAAAAAAAAAAAAAAAAAAAGCGGGAAGGGTGGGGGCTCGGGAGAGCTTGAGAGCTATGGCTTGGAGGGCTGTTGGGTGGATCATCTTAGGGCTTTACGGAGTACTTTGTACTACTACGTAGTAGTATGTACTTTTACGGACTCCAGCAAGGGGGCCGGGGCCGGGGCCGTAGCTTGACTCTTTCGTCTCTTTTTATTTTTTCCCTCCTCCTTTTTTTCCTTCTTTATTCGGCTCCGAAGATATCCCCTTGCGTTCCGTCAACCCGTGTTCTATTGTTTGTTTGAAAACAAAAGAAGAAGAAGACGAAAAAGGGGGGCGGAGGGGGGTTTGATTCTAAGGTTGGAGATGGAGATGGAGAGACGTATGTATCGATGAATGAATTTATTTTTCAAACGAGAACATGATACTATGCCGCCGATATGCATTCTCTAGGAGGGAGGATCTGAGATTCTGGAGCTTTTGGTAGATTTGGTTGGGAAGAGCTGTAAGAAGCGTTGTTCATTGTTCATTGGGGTCTATCCGGGGGGCGGCTGCCATTATTGGTGAGTGAGTGGATGTTTTATTACATTGTTTATTATGTTTTGATACCAAAAAACTAGGCACGCACGCACGCACGCATCGTGTCTTGCCTAGAGTATGGAACCAGGCCTTTGAGGGACGTGTACTAGTTTTTTGCGCACTAGTTTTGTATGCTAGAAGATTGAAAATGCGTATTCATGATGCTGTCGATAGAGGTGTAAGGACCGTGAGATGTGGCCAGTTAGCTAGCCAGCTAGCTGGAATAGTCTTTTTTAGACGGTTCCCGTCCATCTGCTCTGCTGCTGTAAACGCTCCTTACGGCTTGCTGGTGATTATCATTCCTGAGTCTGAATCATGGAGTAGGTACGGCCCTCAGTATAGTTAGCCAGAGAGAGAGAGACGGTGAGAGATTTTGCTTACCTCTCGTAACCCCAGATTTTCCTTGGAGAAAAAGAAAACATTCATGTGCAGAGCTGATCTTAACCCGAAAATGTGTACGCATTCGTTTCATGCTTCGCTAGAGTGCGGATGCGGGATGCAGAGAGCCGCGCTAAACTCGGGTGCTCTCCAGAACAAGAAGATGCAGCGTCAATGCGCCGTGGGTTCCCAAGCGACGATTTTGGTCCGTCTCTGCTCAGCATACGGAGTTGTAGCATAAGTAGCATAGCATGGTGGCTAAAGCCTTCTTCGTGAGGCCAAAGCACAATCTAGAAAGAGCCCCAAAACCCGTATCCCAAACCCAAACCCGTTCGATCTATATCTAATCTCATCCGTTTATCTGTAGGACAGAGGCAACCGTGTGTTCGCTACGGAATGGATGCGTGCGGCGGCGTTCTAGAACAAGTACCTAGTACAATTTAGCAAGCGTCTAGACAAGTCACGTGACTATTACATTAAACAATCGTTGACTCTCTATTTCGTCCCAGTCAGAGAGGTCAGGGTTTGAGAGAACTTCCATGATATATATATATATATATATATATATATATATATATATACTATTTATTTATTTATTTATTATAATATTGTCGG